AGGCACTCTTAAGACTTTGAAGGGGCCCATGCTTGTTTCGCGATTACAGAATTGGTCACTTATCCCCGAACTGAGCATTGTAAAATAATTTAAAAGCTCATTTGAAGAGGGAAAAGTCTTCTGCCAATTTTCAATTAACAATGAATGACAGTTTGTCCAACTAATCAACATTTCGTAGGGCGCCGATTGGTAACTTTTTGGAAACAGCTAGTTCTGTGCTTTTAGTGATCGCTTTATTAATTCTCAGTTTGTTTTCTTTCTCATTTTGGTGACACTTCAAGGCCTCCGAATAAGAGCTGTGCATTAATATTGTTTCTTTTGGGGGAGCTCTCAATGCGACGTCACAGTTCGAAATATTTACCAAAGGCACGAACACCTATTAATGCTGTTTTCAATCTTGATATTTTCTTTACGCTTTTAGTGTCTTAGCTATGTAGAAAAAGCTAAGATAACATTTCCTTAAAAACTATTTTATATTACTCTAAGAAATGGAAAGTTGACATCATTTTCAAAATGCTCCATATTTCATCAATCTGTCTTTAATTTGCGTTTACACTTCATTTATATTCCGCAATTGCATAGTGTCAGGTACATCATCTAGGATTGCCGGGATTAAGAATACCTGCTCAGACCAGGCCCCTCCTTATTTTGGGTGAAAAAAGAAGAAATGACTGAAGGAAGAAAAGCCGGCAGGGCAAGTAAAACTAAATCGGGCCCTCCCCTTAGCTCAAAGTCTGGATCCGCCACTGCTGCTGGTCCGTCTGTTAGTACCGTAACTTACGTGCCAGACGTTTGGTGATTCAGGCAGTCCTGTATCGCAGAAAGAGTTTCAAAAATTCAAATGATTCGTTGCGTTAAAGTTTCTTTTTTATTGTCGACACAACAGCCCTCGAGCAATGAGCACGTAGGAATTCTGTCAGATGTGGCTAAACAGGCACACGAGCGCCCAAGCATAAACAGAACCAACATACCGTGCGGCACGAAATTTTTGCTGGAGTTTAATTTGACGGACGCCTTTTTTTTTTCTTTTTTTTTTTTTTTTTTTTTTTTTTTTTGTGGCTTCCATAGTTTGCCAATGCCAAGCAGCACAAAAGCTTCACATTTTCGACCCCAGATCGTTCGCTTTCTTGACAGGCTGCCGTCAGTCATACTCAAAAGAGAAGAGCTCTGGGGTCGAGAATGAAAAGCTTCAAAGAAGCTTCCTAATGTTTCTCTATCCTGAGTTACTAACATTTAGGAGGAGGGAGATTTACATAACGAAGTTTTGTACGTAGAGGCTGCACCCAGTGGTTCAAAATTTTAAAATTTTGTATAACATTTTTGACTAGAAGCGGTACCCTTTTATATGTATTTATTCATTTCATTAAAAATAGTATTCCTTTCACATGTAGAGACACAGTGCTTAAATTGAGTTGGGTTTGTCCGTTAGAAATGATCTTTCCATACTTGAGATGACACTTTCCCCAACTTTTTTTCTACTTATGATTCTATAAGCTTAAAATCTGCTACTTTTCATGTAACAGGGAATACCGCTTCATTAACGGAAACGCTCTCAAATAATAGCTTGGTTAATGTTAAGTCATTCAATTTGTTGTGTGGCAACATTATGGCGCTCATTTCAATACCATGCTTCTCTCCACCAGATCCTGCAGCTGGAGGATCAGAGGACTGGACATACGGCGAGCTTGGTGTGAAATATTCATTCTCGGTGGAGTTGCGTGACACGGGTCGTTACGGTTTCTTACTGCCACCCGATCAAATCATCCCCACGGGGGAGGAGACATTTGAGGGGTTGAAAGCCTTGGTCAAGGCAATGGTAATGTAGTTACCTTAGCAGGAAACCTTTGCTAACTCGATCTTTGAAATGCAAAATAAAAGACGTTAGCGTACATTTTGCTTTCATTTGGCTTTTGAACGTCATATTAGCTCCTTTCCTTTTACAGCTGAGCAATGTTATAATATTCAGCCCTTATACGTATTCAGACCAGGCTTAAGGCGGGCGTTAACATGAAGGCCGTATTTTGGCTGGGTATTATGGTTTCAACGCAAATATCTCGGTTCACGTCTCAAGTAGTCAAAAATCTCTTAGCTCATCTCACATATCTACGTTTTGGGCAACCTCGTCCCCAGGACCTTCTCCTCGACGATTTTCAAAATAGCGGCTCGTCGGGAGAAGACCCTGTCAAAGGCTGGGTCACGTGGTACAAAGGCTCCAAAAATCTTGGAGATTTTTATCACGTGACATTTTGAGAAGACCAGAAGAAAATGGCAGCCTTTACATTAGAACGCGGAATCGTTATGCACGAGGCAGTGATGGCTTCCTGGGAACATGACACATTATTTTCGCCGGGTTTTTGGAAGCAGGTCGCTTTGTTAAAGAATCTGGAGCGCTACGGTTTGTACTTTACATGAAAGACTGTAACTATTTGAAATAACGAAGTTTATAGTTATTTTTCCTACAGTGCTTTTATTTTTTATGTAACTCTCAATTCCGATTGAACTTAAAAGATAGGAGGGACTCAAAATGAGTAATGAGTGCATTTTTTTTTTTTTTTACTTAAACACGAGCGACCTAGCTGCATTGACTTTAATTTTCTACAATTGCATTTAAGCCATTGACTTAACTTGTGTCTATCTGAGTGGCCATTTTTGTTGCGTAATGTTTTCAATCCTGTTGATTAATTAACTCTTTTTTGAGTAAAGTTAACCTGAAATCAAACCTACTCTGGTAAATATTTTTGCCTGAACTATGTGTTGTATGGTTTTCCTTTCCAAATGAAGTATATGCATATCAGTGGCTGACTGCCTGTAATCGAGAATGAGTTGATCTCAAGAAATTATTAAAAATTGTTAATTATTGTTCACTGGCATAGAATCAAAAGACGTAGTGTATGTACCTTAGAAGCACATGAAAGTACGCGATTGTTCCAACTTTATATTGACACGTCACAACACATCATTTTGCTTTTCATTTCTGCTGAGTTAATTTCACCTTTATGCAATAAAAGTGATCAGCTCTAAGAACTGTTTTGGATTTGCATTGGGTGTACATTTTCAGAATGAAGCTATTAGCGCCAACTACCAGAAGAAACATTCTAAAATAAACAAAATTTGTTACCCCATGCAGTAGTCTCTGTGTTTGTGTTTCTCCAGCCAGGATCGAGAAGAGCAGCCTCTCCCTTGTTATGGATGAAAATAACAGAACTGTGGAAATGATATTACCTTTACCTTAGGAAAAGGTCTCAGAGATCCATTAGCATTTAGTAAACAATAGACTTGACTTTTTATAAACTAACAGGCCCTATCGGAATCTGTGCTTGACCTTGACTGAGTATTTCTTTTGTTACTTTTCAATAATTTTTATGGGAAGATAAAGACTGAGATTACCATTCTAGTAATTTTGTGTAATGAAAAAGAATATTGTGTTCTAGTCATGTTGGGAAAATATCATATCAATTATCCTTTACTGATTAGTGATATTTAAGACTCTTAGAATTGCTTTTTTTTTGCAGCAACCAATTCACGTCCAATGATTGCCTTATGATACAAAAGGATGCTTGCTTCTGAGGTTCTCACAAATTCATCCCTGAATGTTGGCAGCCTTGAAATATCTATGATCCCCTTCCAAACCCAATAATTCATGAATTTGTTTAAAACAGAGGAAATCATAGCTATAACACACTGATAACAGTTGTCTGGATGTAGAATGTTAAATATATAGCAC